AACCAGAAATAGAGACGAAATGTCATTTAATTTGAAAACTATTCTACCAAATCATTACGGTGACAACTGCGCTTCCGATTGACCAGCCCGAATTCGAAGCAATTGATGGGTGTCGTCAATTGTTTCACTTCAAATCGGCCAGTTTAAGTTGAACTATGCATAATGGTTCGTCCATTTAAAAATTACTTATTTAATGTTTAATTACCGATGAAATCTGATTCCGTTTGTGTAGTAATTAGATGTTTTACTGTTTTTCCCACATCACCGAAAGGAGCAGCCTCCCATTGTTAGCGATATTATCTTTATTACAATAAATGCAGAATATTTTTGGAATATATGAAGACGTCGTATATTCCAAAATCGTGGTCAGTTGTCGGCGCTGTACTATTTCAACGCAAAAGAGAGTTGATGTATAAAAGTGATATAAGGCCTATTTGTCTGATTAGTTGCCAGGGATGGATGTGTGTGATGGATTATACACTATGTAAAGACTTTAAAGTTACATAAATACTTTTTTCGGAATATATTTTTATTTCTTAATTTAGAACTCCACAATGAGCAACGGACGTTACTTTTTAAAATTAGCGCGAAAATAAAGAAAATTAGAAATAAAAAAGGTGAGGTCGATATATTTTTTTAAGATGAAGATAACGGAATTTCGAGTATTCCGTTTCTCAAAATTTTTTTGCAAATTAATAATCACCAGATTTGGCACCATTTGACTTTTTCTAATCTGATTTTTTTTTGAGATTTGCATCAAATCAAGAAGTGATTGCCGAAACATAGGCTTATTTTTCAATTTGACAAAACATTTATAGGTTGAAGAAGTTGGGATATCGCTGGTCAAGGTATATATAGTTAAAAGTCGACTTAAATAAGTGAAAAATTCGACTTAAATACGTAAGTTATACGTTAGTTTAGTTAACATGTCTAAGTCTCAGGGAAATTTTATTTTTATTATTTAAAATTGATGTAAATTATTGAAGACGCATATTTTTATACAACGTCTTATTGTTTTGTACTTAACTACACACGCTGTGACAAACGATGTATAAGTCCAATTATACTTTATTTTTCTAAGGTTTTCGTACACGTGATAACAAAACACTTCAGCAAAAAATTGTCGTCACAGAATTAATATACATACATATATATTATTTGAAAGTTCACTGAAAAAAATGGACAATCATAAAAGCTATTTTTAACTCACTTCAAAAACGGTCATCACTATCGGTTTTTTTTAAATTATGATTATTACTTATTTTATTTGTTATGGTGAATAAATATTATTAACTGAAGTTTAATTGAACCTGTATGTTAAACTCTACATTTAACCTAATAGAGTTATACAACTAAAATTCCTTGCCCTTGATCTTCGATAACAAGGTCATTAGACTTTGGATTTTAAATATGAAGTTCACGACGTACTTTTGTCCGTACTAGGAGCATACTAAAATACAATACAAATACTAACTATTGTATATAAAGAGATATTACATAAAGTAAAAAAACAACTCAAAACAGAGTAAGAATAATATCTTGTATATGATAATGATTGCCTATAAAGAAAAATTTGTAGTAAAATCATAAATGTCGAATATCCCAAGCAAAGTCAAAGTCAAAATAATCTTTATTTCATAGGTAAGCAAATTACACTTGAAATGGTCATACTGATTAAACTCTCAGATTCCCCTGAGAAGAATGAGCAAGAAACTCTAGGGGTTGCTCTTTTTAAATATACATTTGAATACATTTATCATTACAATATTTAATTTAAACATCTTAGATCCAAAATACCTGAAAGAGCTAAACGGGTCATTCAATACCACGGATTTTTCTCATCCAGGTACGCAGAAGTTGTATAATAACCTTTAGTATAACGTTTTTGTTTCACAAAAGTTTTAAAACTCGTAAGAAGCTGTATACATAATGGCAAATGTTGAGTATCAATCGAATCTTATTATAGTAGCGTATACATTTGCCCCTTAAATGAATTTGAGACTTTATGAAGACGAGTGTCAAGACCAGCTAGTTTATTTTTATTCGTCGTATTAATGTTATGACTGTCTCTATTTTTCATAAAAAAAATAATATTTTTATTTACATAAATAACATTTTTATAAATGTACTGTGATGTTTGTGTAAGAATGTTAATCCCTTTAAACTTATGTCTCAAAGACATCCAAAGCATCCCTGTGTGTGTAATAATTTAAGTATGCTTTAGCAACATTATAAAAATATCGCTGTAAAAAATTTTACGCATTTTTTACGGACTATAATATTTTATTATCTTATAGGCTATCTATTACTTTACACGTTTTCCGAGGGTTGTGAACCTTCTTCGACGTGAACATCATCACGATATTTCCCTTCAAGGTAAAGCTCATGGAGAATTTCAAGTTCAATTTCGCATTAAATCTGAAAAACTCATAGGTAGAAGCCCAGATTCGAACCCACGGCTTCGGCTTGAGAGGAGATAGTTCCATTAACCTACTATTTATCTTTTTGACAAATAATCAATTTTAGTGTAACTAAAAAGTTTTTAAATATAGTTATATACATTACGCACAACTTTATATTTATATCCAAGAATTTAAAATTTCATTTATGACGTATAAATACAGGTAAATTTATTTCCATAGTATTCGTCATACATTTTTTCGAAATAAATCCATCAGGTGTAGATTTATTGAAGTTTTTATTCTTTTAATTTTTTTTCCTGTAAAATTAGTGTTTCAATAAAATCTGTTTGTTGCTTTGTATCGTTGATATTATGATTTTCAGGGATAGAGTTTATTGATTTTTACATCGTTGCAATAGGTACACATTAATTTTTTGAATCAAAAATCGCATATATAGTAGTCTCTATTTTAATAATTAATTACTGTTAAGTGATTTTAAGGTGAAATAAAACTTTTTTCTCGATTTTTATTTCTTAATTTAGAACTCCGTAATGAGCAACTGACGTTACTTTTTAAAAATTAGCAATGAAAAAAGTTAGTGGAAATAAACATTTAGATGAGTCGACATATTTTTTGAAGATAGAGAATTCAGCTGGTGAAATTACAGGCACATGAGACTTGTCAACTTATGTCTCAGGGTGACGGGCGCAGTGGCAGTGCCCCTCAGATCTTTGCGATTTGAAGCTCTGTGGAGCACTGCAACTGTTATGAACAGCTTGTAGCTTACCACCAGGCGCACGACTTGTTCGTTCTGTCACTTGATATTATAAAAAAAAACGAAATTTCGCGTATTCCGTTTCTCATCTGCAATCAGAACATCAAAACTTGTCGAATTAATTGCCACAACCTCCGTATTAACCATATTTGACCCAATCAGACCTGTTTTATCAGATTTTTTTACCGATTTACATAGCGCTGGACAAGGTGTGCAGTGTCAAAAGGAAATTATGTAGAAAAATGAACCATAATTTAAAAAAAATCTTCACAAAGTCACGGACTTATCAATACCTCGTGTAATTAATTATCATTAATTCTCACCAACCGTTTTTTTTGTACATTTATTATTCGCACTACTTACGAATCTCTGCAATGTTTTATATTTCTCTTACGACACAAATTAAATATTTACAGCCTTTGGAGTCGAAACCCTTGGCCCGTCGGTTTGTTTGAAAACGTCAGTTTGTTTGAAAACAGAAATATACGCGATTTAAATCCGGAAAATAGTTTCATGTCCCATGTGTAACAATTGCGAAAACTTAAGAACTCGGTAGTTACCGATTCTTTCTCAAAATTTAAATAACCAAACTTAAAAAATTTGGTTAATCGGTTAATCCATTAATATTCCAATACAAGCATCTAATTTTAATATAACCTCATTTTCATCGGTTAAACTAACTCAAACAAAAACCAGTTATGACGTAATCTAAAAACTTGACGAACAACGTATTCGATATATCTAATCATTTTGACAGTAGTTTGTTTTCTAGCATGTTTACGCCTCACTGCCGGACACGGTTCTCCTACCAAACGAGGATTTTGGCGCATAGTGCGCTTTGAGGACTTCACACGTTTACCAGGTCTTGTGATCCTTCTTCGACGTGCAAGTTTCATCACGGTGCTTTCCCTCACCGAATGTCAAATTAAACATGATGCCTATCTACTACTTCTGCTCGCTGCATTTCTAACACTCTACTAACCTTTGACGCTGCATGACCTAAAAAATATGTATACCAAAATAACTGGACAACATAATGATATACAACAATCTGTAGTTATATTGCAAACTGTTTACAAATAAACTACAAAAGAATGAAGTATTCTATCGTATGCATTGCTATGCTTAAAAGAAAATTCAGGAGACTCCTGTCATTATTATAATAAACCATAAACTATGTGCAAAATAAACTATAGTTAGAATTATCTAATCTACCGTTGATAGGAAGTCGAAATTCTCTCAAATTCTCCTCAAATCTATATAGAGAAGATTTTTTTTTTTTCATTATCTCTTGGAGTATATAGTTTGAAAATCTTGATTTTTATGTCAATTCAATTCCAAAGGTAAAGGTCCTTCGGTCACATTTTCATACATTCTTTAACTCTTCTTAATTTTTTAATTCTATTAGCTTATTTGATTTTATTGTTTTTTATTGTACAAGAATTTTTGTTTGATTTTTTATTATTTCATTCTATTACTTTCTTTGATTGTATAATTTTTTTTTATTCTATTAGATTCTTTAACTTTGTTCCATTTTTTAATACTATACATTCTTTAATTCTATAATTTTCTTTGATTCCGTCTAATTACTAGATTCTGCCAGACTCTTTAATTTTATTAGACTTTTGGATTTTATTACGTTTTCATTTAAAGTAGGAAATTTCTAATTAGCTACAAAGCAGATCGAATTCAATTTATTCACTAAAAGGTTCCAAAAACCAAACAGACAAGCTTTCGTAACTTTCAGTTTCAAAAGGCATATTTCGCGAAAACCATTGCATAAAAACTGTTACACAATTCATTTTAACAAAAACTTTACTTACGTGTAAATTTTAGTGTACGGAAGGAGGGCCGGGGCAATAAAAAACACTGTAACACTGTCTAGCCATGCACATAATCCATTGGGAAGATGAAACACAGTTATTTTTTAAATTATCTTATCAAGAAATTCGCAGCGCGAGTTCACGACACAATTTTTCGTTTTAGAAAACTTTTGCCGCGCGGCGCATGCGACGCTAGCGGCGGCAAGCGAGCGACTGGCGCGTGAGATTGCCCCACCAGTAATTAAGACCTTCGCTTTTCAAGAGTGGGGCGTAGAGTTCTTTTTTTGAAAATTTTATTTATTTTTTTAATACAGGGTGCAGTGTTTAACCATCTACATCGCATAGGACTCAGATGTTATCCAGGAAGAGAATTTCAAGCCTTGTTTTATCGAGTTCTTAGGACCTTATTTTATTTGGAATGTTTTGTGTCATCATCAAGATGATGATTCTAATGTCTTCTAAGACTTTTCTAAGTCTTCTCCGACACGTAGTTTCTTTCATTTGAATGCATTCGATTATTATTTAATTATTTGCTTTTACAAATAAGAGGCGGTGGCATAGTTTAAATCTATGGTGGCATGTACCAATGACTTCAATTTCTTAATAACGTTTATTTGTGAATGTTTACTAGCAATTATTCTCGCTAACGGTGAACGAAAAGATCATAATGAAACTTGGACGTCGAAGAAAGCTCACAAGTCTTGGAAAACTTGCTAAATCTTCAATCCGCGCTGTATCAGTACCACAGACCATTGCCTAAACTTTTTCCTGAAGACAGACTTGTGCTCAGCAGGGGAATAATGATTATGAAAAAAAGAAAGTCGTACGCAGAAAATTATTCAAAAAATTCTTTGTCTGACTCTTCGACCTGCATTATGCCAAAGTCCACCAAGCAGATGGACTTTGCACTAACATTTCCTTGCAGAATACCCGTGCTCTGCAGTGGAACATAAACAGTGCAATTACTGCAAATGAAAATAAAAAACAATTTCATCAGTGAAAGGGGCACGCTTTTGCTATACAAAAGACATCAACGGTATACTAAATTTAAAAATTTTTCTATCATTTAATTTTGACATTTATTTTTTTTATACTAAAAATAAATTGAATAGTGTACTTAATTCATCGCCTTAAAGTGAGAACCTTAGTGATGCATTCTTACGTAGCCGTTTCTTACCGATATCTGTTGAAACCAAACTTATAAACGTCTTGCTTAAATATATTATTAAAGTAATATATTAGAAGAGGTATAATTTAACTAATTAAAATACTGACATTCACAATATTTTTATCTTTAGTCATAAAAGATTACACAGAAGTCACGTACGAGATATTCACTCTAATACGACGTTATATAATAATTTAGTATAGGAAACATTTTTTTTGCAATATATTTTAATGGCATTAGAGCGCCTTGTGAAAAAGTTCGTCCAGGGAAGTACTGCCACCTTGCCTATTTCTGCCGCCAAGCAGTAATGTGAGTATTACAGTGTTCCGGTTTTTAAGGGTAAAGGTGCTGGTGAAATTCTAGGCTCGTATAATTTGTCAACATACGTCTCAAAGTGACGAGCGCAATGGGAGTGCTCCTCAGATTTTTGCGATTTAAAGCTTTCAGTGGCACTGCGACTCCTATGTACAAGACTGTCACTTACCACCAGGCGCACGACTTGTTCGTTCCATCACTTGATACCATAAAAAAAACCCGAACCAACTTATCAAGCCCCCATAAAGCGAACCACTGCACCATCTTAAGATTTTTCCACAAATCCCCATGTCAACTTACGTCTCAGGGTGACAGGCATAGTGGCAGTGTCCTTCAGATCTTTACAATTTAAAGCTCTGAGTGGCACAGCAACTGCTATGAACGAGCTTAACATCATGCCCACGACCTCCCTTCACGTAGTACCATAAAAAAATCCCTTGGCGTTCATACATGATCAATGCGTAGCTCTCGATTGTTTAGTATCTCACTAATAAATAATAGTTACTACAATATTTGTTACGAATTTGATATTATATACTTTTAAATATAAATTAATAGAGTTTTCTGCAGAATTTGAGAATTATTTTTATTATTTGTGGTATAGCTTGAAATTTAATTACAATTTGTAACTTTTACGTATTTTGTCGTATTTTATTTTCATAGTTGCTGTTCAGTGAACTGTGTAGTTTTAATGTTTTGTTTTTTACATTGCATAACTTGTGTAATAATAGTCAAGGCACATCAAACCAAACTCGACACTTAATTATCGAGCATGACATGCCACATCTGTCTCTCGATCTGTATCTGTAGATAGGCGGCAAAAATGGTAGCAGTATTTCACTGGACGAACCTTTTCACAAGGAGCTGCACTGCTTGTGGCCGGCTTTGCTGGCGCCGCCCCAGCATGTCCTGTAGCCTTGAGAGCCCTGTTGGTGTCCTTGTAGAGGTTTGTCATTTCTTGACTTATACGGTAGCTTCGACATTTGGAACTGTTCCACATAAATATGAGATGTATTTTATTTGTAATTCAGTAAGGAGTGATACATGATGAGAGTTAGCACGTCTTGTCGGTTAGAAAATTTTGATGGGAGTTGAGCACGTGCGCTCGCTTAGAATTTTTGTATAGAGTGACGATGGAACGGAGCAAAATAAGAATAGCGAAGAAAAAGAATTAGAGAAGGATTCGTAATTTGAAAGTAGGTGGTCAGGAACCAAAGAAAAGTGTGATTAAAAGGTCGGATGACGATGTAGGAGGTCACATCGTCAAATGCTATTACATGACGTGTACCTCTCATTATGCCTTTTATTTAATTAAGGACAACTTGCTAGTCGACGTAATAAATCTTAGGAATAAAGAAGACATAACATATTAAATTCTATTAGCGCTACCTGTACTGTAAATACCATATTAAATAAATGAATAATAAACTGTAGATACACATGTAGTATATGACATTGGTTTTACATTTTTGGTTTAACTGTCTCCGTGGTCGAACGGTTACCAAACTCGACTGCCACGCATAGGTCCCGGGGTCGATTCCCGTGCCGAGAGAAGTATTTGTATAGCCTACATTTACTTATCTCGTGAGTTTGGCTGTAATTTGTGGTTGTCTATGTGTGTCTCCATGACACCCGCGATACAGGGTTTCGCTAGTGCAGGGCTATGAATGGGTTGCGTTGTTATTATAATGTTAATTTAAAAAAAACACATTCCATTGAGTAAATATTTCCGCAAGTTATGTTTAAACTAATACGTCACAGTTTTATTTTATAGAATTATTGTTGGTGTATGACACTCTTGTATAACACTCGTATTATAATATTTGTGTATGGCATTGGTGTATAATAGGGATGCCATAGACGTCTGCATCTACCTCCGCAAACGCGAATCATCATATGTTTTTAAACATCTGCACCCGCATCCGACATCCACATAAATCCATGCAAAGTTTTTGCAGATCACGACAAGATCATCAGGAAAGGGCGTTACGCAATGTGCTTGCCAAATACCAGTGCTAATTAGGCAATCAAGGATCGAGGATTCGATGGCGCGTGGTAAGGCAACGACCTGTTTGTTTTCTAAACAAATAAATAAATAATTACGTTTACGTTGGCTTTAGTTATGCGCGTGGTAGTTGGGAACATTTTTGTTTGAATTTAATTTGATTTTCGTAAGTAAGTTTAAGTATAAACGATGCCGTCACCTTTAAAAAGTGTTATTTGAAACTTTTTCACTCAAGGTAGCCCAAAGTGAACAGCTTTTTAGCAGCGCGCGTTAGGTTAGGATACCACTTAAAAATAGACTAAGTACCGCAAAAGCTGCAAAATTATTATTTATGAAGTGTAATTTGATCGTCATAAACTTTAAATATTAATAAATGTAATATTGCATCTATGTCTTTTCTAGCAGAATTATGTAAACTATTATATATTTTTAAATTAATTATAATTTCATTATCACCAGGCTTGAACTGCAAATGTGGATAAAAATTTTTTTGTCGGATGTGTGAAAAAAAAAAATTTTTTCACACTACCGCATCCACATCTGCAGTTTTGAAGGTGAAAGCATACGCATCCACGACCGCACCTGCAGAAGTCGTCATAACTCACCTCCGCGGCATCTTTAGTGTATAACATTCGTGTATTACACCACACGCAAAATAGACGTCTGAACGTCGATTTACCACCAGCCCGTTACACCATACCATACTACGACACTCGTGTATAACATTCGTGTATAATATTCGTGTATAACATTCGTGTACAACGCTCTTGTATAAAACTCATAATATATAAATTCGTGTATAATATTCGAGTTCCTGAATGCTTCGGAACCGATCAATTGAATAGTTCTAACTGCACTGTGTCAAGGGGAGACTGAAGATATCTAACATACTTTGTTGAATAAAACCTATCCATAACATTTGCAGTGCCACTCAAGGCGTTAAATCGCAAAGATTTAAGGGGCACTGCCACTGTGCCAGTCACCTTGAAACGTAAGTTGACAAGTCCCATGTGCCTGTAATTTCACCAGCAACCTTACTCACCAATCAAAACCGAAACAAACTAATGCTCACATTATCGCTTGGCGGCAGAAATAGGTAAGACAGCAGTACTAACCTGGACGAACCCTTTCACAGGAACTGTACTGCTACTTAATGTTTAATAACAGTAGTACCTCGCACTAATGGTTAATTTTGTAAGCAGTAGAGCTCCTTGTGAAAGAGGTCGTCCAGAGAAGTACTGCCACCTTACCTATTTCTGCCGTCAAGCAGTTATGTCAGCATTACTGTGTTCCAGTTTTGAAGAGTAAGGGTGCTGGTGAAATTACAGGCACATGGGACTTGTCAACTTATGTCGCAGGGTCACGGGCGCAGTGGTAGTGCCCCTCAGATCTTTGCAATTTAAAGTTCTGAGTGGCACTGCAACTGTTATGGACAGGCGTGTAGCTTACCATCAGGCGCACGACTTGTTCTGCCCGTCACTTGATATTATAAAAAATTTGAAGGCAAACATCGTGATGAAACCTATATGTCGAAAATTCGCAGCCCTAAATACGTGTGCAGTTCCCAACCCTTATTGGGCCCAAGTAGCAACCCTTGCAGGCGACGGAGAAGAAGGCGAACTCGGTGTAATAAGGCCCCATCTGGAAAATTACAACTTTTCAGGTTAAAAGGTTCTAGAAGTGCACGATTTTTAACTTTAAATCGATTTTTTGGAACGTA